TCGAGGTGCAGGTTCGAAAAGTTTGAAAGTTCAATTTTATGTTCGAAGTCTGAGTTTCGAGAACACAGATCAAACTCTGCAGTTCCGAAGTAAGATTTTATGGATTTATCTAAAATAGAGCAAAATGTGCTACAAATTTTACTGAAAACGTTGCACATTTCTTTTATGCCGGAAATATACTTCTTCCTTCTGAGTGCTATGCGGAGGGCAAGTTCGTCTGCTTCTTGTGCAGGGGGTAGCGGTGACGTCAGGACGCCGAGCCCTGATTGGCTGATCGCGACCCCCTATATGAGCGTCGTCTGCTCCTTTGCATCGTCGTCTGCTCGGAACGTCGTCTGCGTCTGTCTTACCTTTCCTGCGACTTTTGGAAGTGCAGAGGCCAGATTCACGAAACGATCTTACGCCAAAAATGTGCGCAAGACAGAACTTAAGAACAAATTTGTATTCACGAAACGAAATTTTCGTAAGTTTTGCGCAAGTTACGGCGAAATCCTACGACAGCTCCGAAGCCGTCTTACGCACTTCTTACGATCAAATCAGCATGGCCGACAGCGTCGCGGTCGCGACGAACCACGGACGTTTATTTTTCTACGTGCGCTTCTCACGCGTCCCGACTTCAAGCAGCAAGAAAAAAGTAAAAAGTACTTGAACCAGACCACGACGAACAAGAACGCTGGATCCACAAACACCCGGGAAAAGCTTCAACGGCCACGATTCCACCGAACGCGACCAAGCGAGCTTCGGCAGTTAGGCCTAGCAGGCACTCCGCGACTCGGCGACCGTCTGCCCACGACCGGCTGGCGTACTGAATGGAATATGCCCGCGCGACCCTTGTGAACCCTTCCCGTATTATACTTTGATCGCTGACCTCAATTTTAGATTAAGAGGTCAATTTCTTCCTCTTGTTATCTCCTTGTTTCCCGAGGCAACGGTGACTCTCGCCGGTGAAAAACCGGTGAATCTCCGAGTCCCGACAGACGCAGGAAAGGTAAAGCAGCCATCGCTTTGACTAGCAGACGTAAAGCAGACGACGTTAACTGCGCCATCCTCTCGCCGCACACGAAAGGAGCGAAAAAGTATTTGGGAGGGAACTTGCGGACACACGCTCGGTTCTTAGCAAACAAACCTCGACGCCTCAGGACACCTCACCAGTGAGTCCTTCGACTTCCCTCCTTAGTGCGCGTCTGCTAGTTGTTAGACAAAGACAACGTACCGCTCGAGTTATTTCGTCTGCCCTCTCTGAAAGGCGAAGTCGAGCTCGCTCGTAAAGACCTGCACTTCTGAAAGTCGCAGGAAAGGTAAGACAGATGCAGACGACGTTGCGAGCAGACGAAGTCGCAAAGGAGCAGACGACGCCGAGGTAGGGGGTCGCGATCAGCCAATCAGGGCTCGGCGTTCTGACGTCACCGCTACTTCCTTTCTCATGCGCAAAAGACGAAAATGAGCCCACTTGCGAGGCGTATACTGGCGGTACTACCTGTATTAGTCTTTATTAGTCCTAACCTAGGAAACAGGCGTGTAACTGGTTCACAGGTTCATCGAAAAGCCCAGAAGCAGTCATGTGAACGTACTTCTTACGCCTTTGCAAACTAGTAGAAATTCGATCAAATGTCGCCTAAATGCGATGCTGGCATAAGATAACTAAAAAATTAGTGTGTGTGGATGTTTATACAGCCTACATCTTAGTCTTCCTCAATTAACGACTTGTCTCCCAGCTGTAGATTAAACATTTAGCCAATAAGACAACTGAATATACAGAACAATGCAATCAGACAAACACATCCAGACTCCCGAAATTTTTTAGTTGCTGTGAGCGTTTATTTTTGGTGCGATAACCCGTAAGATGTCGAAAAATCTGGACAGAGTCACAGCACCCGAAACAAATCAAGGTTGAGTAGAACGCCACCAGAATAAATCAAAGCCCCCCCCCCCCCCCCCCTTCCCGGCCACCCGATATACAGCTGATCAGGCCACTACCGGTTGTCATCGGGCTAACCATATTGCCGCTGCCTGTAACTTGTTCTCTTTATTAGTAACCTGGTGGTTACTAATGATAATGTGCCGACCCAGCGTTCGCTATAGCGCATTGGTATCGCGCTCCGCCCGCGCCTTTCACCGATCAGCCGCACCCCACGAAATCGGGGGACTTCGTTCAAAATCAGCTATGAAGGGCGCCCCCAGCAAAGCGCCTCTGTTGATTTTCAAGCCTGCAGATAAGGAATCTGCTGGCCCGTAGGCTACCTCGGGGAAGCCTACGGAGCTGTGCACGGCAGAGGCTTTGAGCGGAAGTCGGAAGAAAAAGGTGCGAGGTACAAGGCCGTGGCTAACCCAGAAAGATCATTCACAGCTTTGAAAGCCAGTGGTTTGAAGCACGATCAGCCAAGTAAAGCTCCAACGCAATTTCTACTCCCCTTCACACATTGACATCTTGTGTTATTTATGTATGTTTCCTTCAACCAAGGAGGTTGAAAGCTTCTGGAGGCGACATGAGGCCACCAGAGCTGAAGCTAGAAGTGTGGAGGGACATGCCCTCAACGATGACCAAAACCAAAAGACGCCCCGAGGGTGACCAAAACAGCTGTCGAGTCAGATCCTCTTTTCGTTCAATAGCGTCTCTTGTTTCTGTTCATCGTAGGGGACATGTCCCTCCAAACTCCCGGCTTCACCTGTGGTGGCGTCATGTTGCCTCCAAAAGCTTCCTACCTCCATGCCTTGAACCTATGGGGTGAACCTGGTTCGAACTTCGTCGCACTTTTGTTCAGAAGTTTGAACTTCGTCGAACTTTTTAACTTAGCAGGCTCGAAAGTTTGAAAATCGTCGAATTGCTTAACATGTAAGTTCGAAAGTTAAAAAACAAATTATGAGTCTATGGCGCAAAAAACTCGGAAGTTCCAAAACAATCGAATTTCATAGCGCCGAAAATCTAAAGTGTCAAAATCGTTGATTTTTTAAGTTTAACATTTTGAAACGTTCTCAAATCTTCCGAGTCCTTGGTTTCATCTTGGAACTTCAGGTTCGAGAGAAGTTTGCGGCATCTCCATTTACAGTAGATTTGCTACAACACCTCCTCTATGAGAGGTAGTAAATTACCCACGTCACTTGGCGGGAGCCCGCTCGGGGCACAAATTGGATGCGACTGCTGCGATAGCGTTTCGGCAGGGAGTTGCCTCTTCACTGAATGAAAATGAGTCCTAGTCGATCGCTGAAGCAGAATTCATGTTCAAATCGTGCCAAGTACTCGATCGTGACGTAAATGACGTAAAGATTCTAGTGCTCAGGGCTTGCTCTCGGTAAACGCTGAGCTGTGCGTAGAACAGGCTGGACAGAGAAGAGCTGTCCATGTTCATCTAGATTTCCTTGTCAATAGATTTGATTTAGTTTCACATGACAGCTAACTATCCTTCTTTCCCTTTCCCTCCCTCATACCATAGCGCGTCTTAAGTGCGAGGCCGTGCCATAAAGCTTAATGTTACCCCCAATAAAAGCGCGTCACAGCAGTATTTGCCTGGGACATAGAGTGCTTAGCGATACAAAATGGACCAGCACAGTGCGGGACCTCGCGCGTAAATACGCATCATGGATCACTACTGCATGATGCACGTTCAAGACCCGAGGCTAGGAGTGATAGTGCACTGGCTAAATCTCTCATCCGCAGCGTAAACCAGTCTCGCCGCACCTCAAAGGCTAGACCGATTTTATATATATATATATATATATATATATATATATATATATATATATATATATATATATATATATATATATATATATATATGTATATATATTGTTAGGAAGGTGAAGACGACGGCGGGGCAGTGGCGCGCACGATTATCTCGCGCCAGGCCCCACGGCCCGGCTCGGCCTCCATAAATCGTATGTGTGTTCTATCATCGTGTACTGTCCTGTCCCTTCTGCTGCCGACAGCATCACCCTAACAGTATGGTGGAGGTGCGGAGCCACCCTCATCTCCTTCATTGAACATCGGCGCCGCTATGATCCTGTGAACCCGCCTCGTTGAGGCAGTCATCCGCAGCAGCAGACCAAACACCAGCCCATGACCCCATCGCCCAGCCCCCGCCCAGACGCCATGACAAGTCAAATCAGACGAAGCCGCACCAGACGAAGCCGACAGACGATCCCCCGCCCCTATCCCCAGCCCCCGACGTTCCGACGCTTCTCTGTGACGTGAGTCCCCCAGCCCGGACCGTGCCGTCGTGTGGCTGGTGCAGAGGTCTGTGACGCTGCGGAAGAGGCCGAAATTCAACGTCTCCATTTTCATCCTCACCCTCGCTGTCGGCAGCCGTCCTTTCTTCTTCTGTGTGTATGTGGCTTTCTAAGTGTGCTTCATGTGTTCATTTATTCACCGGCCGGGTAGGCCGTTTTCGTCGGAGGGAGTACTGTTAGGAAGGTGAAGACGACGGCGGGGCAGTGGCGCGCACGATTATCTCGCGCCAGGCCCCACGGCCCGGCTCGGCCTCCATAAATCGTATGTGTGTTCTATCATCGTGTACTGTCCTGTCCCTTCTGCTGCCGACAGCATCACCCTAACAATATATATATATATATATAACTTTATTTTCCATTCATACAATGGTGAAGGCCGCTGCAATCTACTGAGTGAGCTCGTCTAATAGCGAGGTTGGGAATAGTTTCAGACCTAAAAACAAAAACAGTCTGTGCCGTGCGTACCGATCATGATGAAACATCGCAGACTGTCTTTTAAAGTCTAAACATATTTCCAATGCCGTCATTCGCCCCGTTCGCTCCTTAGTTTGCAGCGATTCGCTCTCCTAAGGGTGTGGCCCAAACGCAAGACGCATCGAACTTTTTAGAGTGCACAAATTGAGCTTGAAAGCGGGCAGGAGACGGGCTTCGTTTTCTGCGACTTTGAGTTCCTTCGACTCCTCCGTAAAATAAAGGTTCGTTGAGAAGAAGGTGGGCCGCTGTCGCCATCGCCGCCGCGACCGGCGACGACACCCGATACGGCCCGGCGTCAAAAGCTTCTCGGTCAGCGAACGACGTGTTGTCTTTAAAGGCGCTGTCCCGCGACGAGTGCCGGTTTTCACACGCGCGTGTTCCGTACGCACACACGCCATGGGCTCGGGACAGACTCCGAGGCCCGCCTTGTGTGCGCTTCTTCTCTGCAGCTTCCTGGCGCCGGGGTTCGCGAGGCTGCACAGGACGCCACAACAGCTGCAGGAACGCCATGGGTACGTGCTTAAAAATTAAAAAAAAGCAATAACGTAGATCTCTTAGAGGTTTCTACAAGACGCCTACAAGACGTCTCCTAAGACGTCTTGTAGGTGCGTTTGTTATGGCAAAAACAATTTCTAAGGTGTTCTAAGACGTCAATACGCAATGATTACGTGCTTAAACCTGAATACTGTAACGCTTCTAGAGGTTTCTAATAGACAGCTATTGCCATTGACAAGATGGGAACGGCAGGACATCGCTTACGAACGTACGGCCTCCAGCACGCGCTTGTTGCCTTCCGTCGTGCTTTGTCTGCACGAGCACGCTCGATGTCCACGAGTCGCCGAACCGTTATCCAAAGTAGCAAGCTCGCACTGGAGGTGGCGGAACTAAACCTCCTCGCTGCCGTGTTTATACTGTTTGTCCCTATAAAACCGGAGTTCCACTGCTCATACAAAATGCAAAAGACAGTCGACAAACACGAGTCACCGCAATATCCGTGGTTCGAATGCCGCGTGATAAGTTTTCTCTTCGGACTCTTTGCCATACGGCATTCGAAGCACGGATCTCGCGGTGACTCGCCTTCGAATCTGTATGCGGACTGTCTTTTCTATGATGTATAAGCAGTGTGACCCCGGCTTAAAAGAGGTCTCTTAAGACGTCTTGTAGATGTTTTTGCTGTGGTAGGTGAGGCGTTTCAAGACGTAAAGACGCTATGAGCACGTTCTTAAAAACTCAAAAACGTAGCGCTTAGGAGGTTTTTCAAGACGCCAAAAAGACGTCTCTTAAGAGCCATCTTGTAGATGTACTCCCTGTGGTATACGTTGCCTTCAAGAGATGAAAAGACGTCTGCGACATTATTCGGTCTTGCCCAAACACCCGCAGGACGTCTTGCACACGCTGTCCCAAACATGTTATACATCTCAAACAGATAAAAAGGTACGTTTTGGAAATACTCAATAAGTGTCCGATGAATAAAAGTCGCAAAAAAGGTTGGAGAGGTTACGAGTATTTCGTTTTCTATCAAATTCTTTTTAAAAGACCACAAGCCTATGTTGCCGGTTAGTCGTCACTGCAAACGAAACTCGGAAGAAAGTTGTAACGACATTTCTTCAAAACTGCCTATCGTCGATCGAGTTGACCAGTCTAATTGTTCTCAGAAATTCGGAAGAACCGTTGGCCTACTTAACGTCTTGCAATCAGAAGAAGCGCGAAGTCATGTCGCTAGACATTAATGACATATTATTCCTTCCGTCAACCATTGCTACTCTCAAGTTTAAAAAAAAAAACTTGCTGGAGGCAAACTTGGTTCGGTTCTAGTCGCGGTCCGAGATAAACGTAGGTAGTTTTCTGAAGCTAACAGAATTGTAAATCTGAAGTTTGCAGCTGCCGAGTTTGAGGGGAGTAAATGTGCACAAAAGGAAAGTGTTTGAATCGGATCGTCCCTGGCGCCGGCGTTGTCCGAAGTATATTGGCTCTGTTGGACTTAGCCTTAAGGCAACTGGCACAATCGATCCCTGAAGGGTCGGTGATAATTAACAGATACGTGGATGACATTTTGATATACTCGGTTTGAGACGTCGGCCTACGGATTCTCAGGAAGTGGGTTCGAATCCCGGCCAAGGTGCCCGCAATATGTCGGAGGCTTATTGCGGAGAAAGAAGGCGCTGTGTCATCGAGCTTTTTTGCGTTGCACGTCAAGAGATCCCCAGGTGGTCGGAATTAATCCACAGCTCTCCACTGGGGCGAGCCAGACGCCCGTCATTGGTTTTGCACGTAAAGGCCCGAAATTTAACTTTTGACTTCGGTTTAGTATGTTATTGTGTTGTTTCTATTTTCGTGCGTCGTCCGGTTTTTTAAGACGCTGCTTACATATCTAATAGAGCTTTTGGTGTTCAGTAGCTTAAGTACACAGTTTTCGTATGTGAGTAATTACAAATTGGAAGTTGCGCCAGACTGCTTAGATGTCGCCGAACAGAAACTATTGGCCAACAAACTGTTAGAAACAAGAAAAAAAAGAACGGTCAGGATGTCGTTTGTTTATTTATTTATTGAGTTACTTCGTTAGCTAGTTAGCTCGTTATTTAGATAGTTAAGTAGTTAGTCAATTAGGAAATCACATATCTGAATACTTTGTTGATTAGGTACATATTTGGTTGATTTTAAATTGACTTTGTTATTGTATGAGTCATTAAGTTCCTTAGCTCGTTAATTAGTTGGTTTACTGTTAATTCGCTAGTGAGTTTATTTACCTTGTCTTATTACTATTCTTATTATTTCAAGATTTGTTCGTCTTCTGCTGTTTTTTTTTATTTTTCAATAAACTCATTTGGGATTTCAGTTTTTTTTTTCTATTCATGTATGCGTGTGAAAAGGTTGTAACGCTTTTTCATGCTACGCAACCACCCGCGGTTTGTCTGCCGCTTAAATCAAAAGTGGGATTTTTAAAACCTGTGTTCATTTGTAAATTTCGTCAGATCTCGGTTTTCCTTGCTTTTTATTCGGCCGTTCGGAATTCGTGTGTGGCGTCTTCTTCTTGTTTACTCTTATTTTTATTTCTAACTGCTGTGTGGTTATTGGCTGTTAAAAATACCTAGATTGCGATTTTGACAGATTTCTCTCGTCTCATGAGATCAACCACAAAATTCGGCTTAACAGGGTTCTAGAGACGCTGATAAGGTCAGAAATGCCGGGGAAGGGGAATGGGAGGGGGTGGGGGGTGAAGCAACCCTTCCACCGTGCGCAGCCAAAGCAGGGCGGAAGGCATGGAGCGCCTGCTGGAGGCCGCAAGTTCGAAAGACACGCCCTGCCATTTTCATCCTTTCGGTGAATGTACCACATTGTCATTTAGCCAATAAATGGCAGTGAAGGGTTGCATTTGTTTTTTGAAAATATTCAACAAAAAGCCCGAAAATGTTATATGGTCGAGTGACAACCCTAAAACCATTAACAGCAAAAACTACCTAAACAATCAAAACAGCAAAAGAAATTTTTTTGCTGTTTAGGTAGTTTTTCCTAGAGAAAAACAGTGAAAAAATTCACATTACGTTTTAGATACATTTTTAATGATGGTTGTCCTTTCTTTTTTTAAGAAAACACCTTATGAATATTAAATCGTGTCTCCTGACACTTTGAAGCGGAAGGCATTTTTCTTTTTTTTTTTACTTTATAGCACAAACCTCTTTAACTTAACTTGAAAATTTTATTTCGCACCCCAGGTTTTTTTTCACATTGCTACGTTTAACGTTCGTGCTAAATTATACATGTATATATTTGTCGCCTTTAAAGAAAAACTTAGGAAAGTATAGGTACTATTTTTATTAAAGAAATACAAACCATCCTCCTTGTAACAAATTTTGAAATAGACAATGCGAAACTGTTAACCCACACATAAAAAAGAATTACTCTAATAGTGCAAGACAATTCACAGCAACTATACTGACTCCCGTGATTTTATTATACGTTTAGTGTGACCAATAAAAAATATAACTTAATAATCTGCGTTTAAAACATGTTCCAAGTAGTATTACAAATACGTGGATTTTGTGCGGTTAGTTCCGAACAAGTGCTCCTGGGTGATAGGCTGAAACACATTATAAACCATTATTTAATGAACTACGAGTGAACTCAAAATGAAGTATATTACCAAAATGTTAGAAACTCTGTTTCTGTTTTTTTTTTTTTTTTTTTTTAGAGAGAAATTGTGAGAAGTCATGGTTTGATTCTTGTTATGATGATGAAAACTGGGCAGCATTGATTTTTCCTATTAACTCTCAGTCTGTACGCAAGATTTTTTTTTATTGGTTGTGTACGGGAGTTTGAAAACAAACTTCTCGGCGTTCTACATCGTGGCCAGTTGGCCGACCTGTAGCGTGGGCGCTCGTCGTCGCCAAGTCTAGCCCGGCGTTATCAAGCCACGCGACGAGCAGCGGTCCACGGTCGGCGAAATTCAACCTGCCGGGGATCTCTGCTGCGCTTCCAACCACGCACTGCTTGCCTAGCTGCAACCGTCGCCGCCAGAAAGAAACAAAAAAATACAGCGGCAGCTGCCTTTCAGTTTTTATGCTGGCGGCATTCTGCTCCGGATGTTGCTCGCTCCAAACAGTATTGCTGCTCTTACTATATTCGTGTTTCTTTTCTTTGTTTGGTATTCTCTTTTGTGTTCCGTTTTCGGTCTCTTCTAAATAGAGTGGCAAGCTCCAAACATGTAGAATACCGGGTGTTTAAAACGAAACTATATTATCTTTCATTCTTTTTTTTTTTCTTTCTTTTTTTACCTCAAAAATAATCTAGGCATTGCCGAACACTAAGTTCTCGTCCGAAGTAGCGCGAGCACGTGGGATAAGAAGCAAAAGTTTGAGGACCTGCCGTTATCAGACTCCAGAGTTGTTAGCAATTTTTCAAACTTCTTTCGGGAAGAAAATGGGGCCAATGAATCCTGCGAATATACGGAGATTAATAGCGTCTTCCACCGAAAACGGACTTTTTATTTTATTTTTTTTTTATTTCGTTTAAGCGTTTGACGTTTCGTAGTATATTTATTCTATGAGAAAAAACAACCGGTGCACTTTTCTTCCGAATAGCCTATACATATTGTTAACAAATGTTTTGTGACGCTTGAGGTGCGCCGTCTAATCACTGAAAAATCTGCTTCCGAAAATGCATAAGATCGGCTTATATAAAAAAAGCTGCAACTGATGATTCGTATCATATCCTTAGACGCAGAATGTGCAACAGAAGCTCCTCATAATTTTTACCATTAAGTATGAATATTAGTTAAGATATAAGTGTGGCTAAATTTGTAATGTGACGTCTCGCCCGCCAGATTCAGCAGAAATACAACCCTCTATATTTAACGGCGTGGTAATATATTGCGTTTTTGTTTTGTTTGTTCGGTCTTTTGTAAAGCTACGCTCATCTCATAAAAATTAACCTTAAAAGCCATTCTGTGCTAAAATGAATTTTTTGTTTGCCGAAAGCTGTGTGCTTACTAGCGAGACTTTTTTATTCTGCATGG